GCCGCCGCCACCGCTGCTGCTGCTGGTGCCGGTGCCGCCGCCGCCGCCGCCTCCGCTGCTGCTGCTGCTGCTGCTGCTGCTGCTGCTCCTGCCGTGACTGTGGTGGTGCTTGGTGCTGTAATTGAACATGTTGTTTTTCTTGTTGCTGCTGGAATTACAGGCGTGAACGCTGTCGCATCAACACGTTGCTACGACATTGTTACGAACCTTATCACAAACATACAGACAAAACAAGCAGAAGAACAAGAGCAATAAGAACGACAGCAGCCGTATGGAGCCAAGCAGTCAGCTTTTGCTATCCGGGCAGTAAGAGCAGAGCAGGGAATTCCTTTGGGACCTCATCTGCATTGCAGGCCTTTTTCAACTCGAGCACTTGCAGCACGCGCAGTGGCAGCAGCTTCGACGAGGTTTCTCATATATGTATTGTATGTAGGGTAACTTGCGACGCAATTGGCGCAACAGGCGGAGGCACCCTTCAGTGGCGACGAGGCGCGGCTCACATTAGTTGATGCAGCTACAGTATGCTGGCTGCCAACGGCATTGGATTCATCCGACTTCAGACGCATGTGCGGGCATGAGAGAGTCCTGCAGGTAGCTTTAGTTGGTTTCGCGCAACGCCCCTGAACCATCCCGAACCTAGTCATGTAGGTGCGAGTACTGCGGTAGCAAATTCAGGATTTGTCCTGCCGATCCAACGGACAAAATCTTTGCTCAACGAAGGAAAGGGAGACATGGAAGTCTGAGCGCTGGAAGCAAGACACGAAAACTCAAGCATCAAAGCAAAGAACACTGCCAACCAAAGCAATAATTGACTACCCAAGAAAGGGTTGAGGATTTCCTTCGAATCGTCGGGTTCCAGGGTCAGGGTTTGCGGTTTCGAGGGTCGGGCTTTTTAGGCTCAACCTTCAGAGTTTCAGGTTGTGGTCGACGGCTTTGAAGGTTTATGTCCTGTTTCCAGGGTGTCTTGGTTTCTGGGTTTTTATCACTGTCTTTGGTTCCGTTAGCGAGCAAGCGTGTTTGGAGCTATGTGGGTATGTATGTGTCAGGTAGGGTGTAGGCGTTTAGCCGTCTGAAGGGTTCAGTGTGTCCGAGGTTCAAGGTTTTTCGGGCCAGGGCTTTGGGCCCTGGGTGCTGATGGATTACGGCTAGGGCTCAAATTTTGAGGTCTCAGGTCGATTTTTTGTGGTTTGCTTCCGAGCATGTCTATGTTGCTATAAGTAAGGGTTGCACTTAAGCGTTTCAAAGTTGAGGTTTACTGCTTTCAGCTAGGGGATAAACAAGGGATTGATAAGGTTTGCCATGTTTGCAATTTGTTTTTTTGGCTTGCGCCTTCGGCTGTTAAGCGCTAGAGCCTGGTGGTTTCGATTAGAATTTCAGGATCTTGGGGTTGAGGGCTTTAAGCCAGGGAGCCTTGAGTCGGTTTCGGCATATGGTCCATCACGGTGTGCATTCAGCTGCGGCCAAATGCAGGTGAATGTCACAGCTGACGAAGTTCCCCTGGCCGCTCGAATGATTCCAGCTAGCCAATCGCGGGGGAAGACTGTGTTTAAAGCATGGATGAAGCCATGATGGATGCGCGATCGATGAGTTGTGGTACAGGTCCAACCCCGACGGCAGCACCGGGGCTTGCCTGCAGCTTTGTGTTGTTTCACTTGATGTTGCACGCACTTGCATGGTGTGTTGAACATCTTAGCAGATTGCATTTTTGATGTCTGAGATGCCTTGCGGCGCAACGTGCAGTGTGTGGAGCTTAGACAGTATGTAGCCTCAATCGATTCTGTGCTGTGAGCAAGGCGGCCACACAGAGGAAGGAACCAGAAGCCGGTTAGTTAAGTTGGGCTGTCAACATCTTTCAGTGCAGGGCTATCGAGACAGGTTCTTGAAGCCTCATCTGTAAGCTGGGTGTCAAAGGTTTCGAAAGCTGATACGAGCCAATGTGTCTTCGCTGCCTACGTAATCAGCCGAGGCGACGTTGCCTGCGCTGCCTCACGGGACGTCTTGCCGGGGCTCCATCTGTATCTTCTGGACCTGAGCTGACCACTCCGTTGCCAGAGCCATAGACACGCCATCTTTGATAAATCAGTCTCAACGTTGATTTCAGTGTGAAATCTGTCAGCAAGGAGTCCTGCGGAACCCGCAGTCTCGGCTTGGTCGGGATCCTCCAGACAAGGGTATCCTCGTGTCAAGCTTGCTTGTCGCTCCTCACCTGTGTTGGCTCACTGCGCAAGCCTCACGATACTGCAAGCCTCACAACATCTCACAACATGTGCACAGAAGCGTTCCTGCACCCAACAATTCATCTGCAGGTCAACTATCAGGATCATCGTCACATCCGTCACTAGTTACTGCCACTGTCATCGTCATGGTCATCATGATGATCAACCGTCAGAATCATAGTCATCACAGTCATCATCTTTGTCTTCGTCGTCGTCGTCCTCCTCCTCCTCATTCTCTTTGTCCTCCTCGTCGTCTACTACCACTACTACTACCACTATAGTAGTAGTCGTAGTAGTAGTAGTACTACTACTACTACTACTAGTACTACTGCTATTACTATTACTGCTACTGCTACTACTACTACTACTACTACGACGACAACAACAACAACTACTACTACTTCTACTACTACTACTACTGCTTCTACTTCTACTGCTACTACTACTACTACTACTACTACTAATACTGACGACGACCACAACCACAATGACAGCCACAACGACAACCACAACCACAACCACAACCACAACCACAACCACAACAACAACAACAACAACAACAACAACAGCAACAACTGCAACAACAACAACAACAACAACAACAACTGCAACAACAGCAACAACAACAACAACGACAACGACAACGACAACGACAACAGCAACAGCAACAGCAACAGCAACTACTACTACTTACCGCTATTGTTGTTTTAGTAGAGATACTAGTAGACCCTCTACTACTGCTACAGCTTATGCTGCTGAAGCAGCAGCGGAATGAGCAGCAACACCGTCGTCATCGACAACAAGACGCCAGCAACCAGTAGCAACCATCAACAAATATTAGCAACCATCAGCAGTACCACATTGACGGCCAGTAGTGCCTACAGCAACCGCTGCGGCGGCAACGGCATGGCAACAGGAACACCCACGACCACAACCAGCAAGAATGGCAGCAACAACAACAGCAGCAGCAGTCGTCACTGCCGCAGCCCTTGCGCGACTGCGCCCCAGCCCTTGGCCCTACAAAACGCGAGCCTTTTCTGACTAGTAGCACCGTCGTGGTTGTCGTCGTCATTGTCGTCGTCAACTTCATCAGAGCATTCTTGTAAGTTCACCGCATCCTCCTAGTTGCACTGTTGCAACTTTCTAGGAGACTTCCAATGTTGATTTCAGGGCCTAGCTCAAGATGCCATATTTGTGACACCAGCGCGATGTCCCGGGCAAGCAGCAATGCTTCACATCATGGAAGGCGCCAGTGTGCTGCAGATCTCTTGGACAGGTTCTCATCCCAACACTTGTGAGATACCTGTTTGCTCCTCAACATCTGATTCGATTGGTCGGCGCTTGTGTGACATAGTGTATCTAATAACAGGCAGGCAGAGTGCTAGGAACTACGCTGAACAGCAGATCAAGCAAATTGCAGCTTCCAGGTTCGTCCTAGTTCTTGGCGTTTAGCATCAAGGCCCTTTCAGCAAATGATTTGTCCAAAGTTAGGTAAGGGGCTGCACCATGCATGACTCACGCCATGGGGACAGGAAAGAAGTCGAGCAGCAAAGTTTCCCCCCTTCGGCCAACCGTTCCCTGATCCAGTGCTTCGGTACGAACTGCAATTGTAAGCTCGGATTTGGTCACGCTCACACTCCCTAGGATTACTACCGCGCAGCTACACGTCGTCTGAGCCTGATTTGTATGTCTTGCGTCTGTGATTGAGTGCGATCAAGTTGGGGTTCACAAGTTGAGTGCCGATGGCTATCAATGGAAAATGCCAGCACCAAGAAACGCGCATCCAGCTTTCAAACGCTGAGCACCCTGGCTCGGCAAGGGGAATGTATGTGTATATATGTATATATTGCCGTATGGTCACCGCCCCAAGATCGATACTGCAGGGTCTTGCATCATAAGATTCTCTTTTTCAAATACATCATACATGACGCATATCGAAGCGCTGAAAACATTGAAAAGAATTGTGTTTTTGCCCGGTTGTTCCATGAGTTGCTCTGCAAATCCAAACCTCTGGACTTCTTGTCCTCGAGGTGCGCTTCGTGACATCCGGAATCCGGTAGTCAACTGATGCTTTTGTTACTCGTACAAACTCTGAAGGTTTTGGCAATCTTTGCCTCGAAAACCTTGCAAACCGAGAATGTGCCACAACAAACAAAATCGTGTCGTGAAAATCTTGTCAAGACTTTTGGAGATAAACAACATGCAGGTTTTCAGGACCAATACCTCCAGATGTTTTTTTTTAGCACCGCTTCGGGTTTTAAGCCAAACGTTGCCAAAACCTGAGGAGGTGCCAAAACAAAAAAAAGGCGTTTTCGATGCCTTAAGGACCAGGACCTCCAATTTTCTGTTTTTGCTGTACCTCCTCAGGCTTTAGCAAGATTTTGATTGAACACCTTGCAAGAACCTGAGGCAGGTTTTCAACAGAAGAAAACCAGTCCAACACGTTGCCAAAACCTGTGGAGATACCATATTATCTGCGCCCCCTTTCCCCGGAATTCTTCAGGGTTAGGACTTCCAGGTCCTTTTCTTTTTGGGTACCTCCTCAGGTGTTTGCAACACTCTGCTTGAAAACCTTGCAGATAACTTGAAGCGGTATCCAAACACAAAAAATTCAGAGACCGCCCATCCCAATACCTCCAGAGTTTTCTCTTGTTTTGGTTCCTCCTCAGGTTTTGGCAGGATGTTTGCTTTAAAATTGACAGTTTTGATTAAGCAGAAGCACATCTTGTTATAAGAGGAAATGAGGCACTCAGGATTGGAGAAGTTCCCGCCTTTGTCTCCACAGAATCAAGAGCGCAGGATCTGAGAATTCCAGCGAAATGTTGAAGCACATTCAATATGCGAGTTAGATAGAGAAACCCAGGAACCCAGGATCTGAGAAGCATCTTTAGTAAGGGTTTATGGACAGGAGATCAAGGCCGCAGGACCAGAGAATCCTTGGATTAGCTCAAAGTACATGTAGGAACCAATTTGTAACATGATGTCAGCCAGTTATCTGGTCTTCGCCTTAATCTCTCCGCATGCGGCATTTTTGCGTATGAGACCCCTAACCATAACCATGCCAATATACATCTTCGGGGGGGATACAGTTAAACTTAAAATGAATATATATATATACATAGATGAATAGGTACTTTAGTTCTTTCTGTGTTTGTTTGTTTATACACAGACGGTTGGGTTTCGGGTTTGTGGTGTAGGATCGCCCTATACAAAGGGGCTACAAGCAATAAGGCTACTCTATGGAATGCTTATGGTTAGGGGCTACCCTTCTGAAATCGATTCAAATCTACAGCTTATTTGAGCAACCTGCGAGATTAATAAGACAAAGTCTCTCAAAAAGTGCAGGGTTTACTGATTGCTGGTTCAGGCTTTGGAGGCTTCGTCGGTGGATGCCTCCCCACCTGCATGGCCCGCAATTTCATCTTTGCAAGATGCCCTCAATATTCGCAATCTCTTGTAATTTTGCAATCGTGTGATATCCCATGAAAGACACACTTGCCATTGTTTTGGTAAGACTTCCCGTCGCTTCGAAGCTTCCCCGATCCTGAGAAATGATTCAAAGAAGATTACAGTTTTCGCTGGTTTCTGATCTTAGCCATCTTCCGTAAGATCGAGAACGTTTGGAATGCTTATCTCCAGTTCCGGTTGTGTACAATTGTCAATTCTGGGTGCCGTCCAAATGCGCTGATGCATTGCCACTCGACTTCGAATAAGTTGTTGCGAAGCCGGCCATCTCCTGTCAAAATCCAAAATCACAGAAAAAAACGCATGCTTGCTAAAGGCAGGATTGCTAACAAACCAACTGCAGTGGCTGGCCTAATTCTGCGGTGATACGGGAAATGAATAGTTATGGTTGGAGGGTTGCAGAGCCAATTTTTTGCAAATTTTATGTGGATTGAATTTTGTGCCACTTCGACGATTCATGTTTTTCGGAGACCTTCGCGTACCGTGGGGTTCAAATTTTCTGCGCTCGTATCCCTCCAGCCCCATCCATGTCACAGCCCGCTAGTCTTCCACGCGACTACTGACCATGTGCGTCGTTGGAGGCACCCAGGCCCAGATATTCAATTAAGGTTCAGATTCCAAAGCCTTGTTACAAAGCTCGCGGTGGAAACTCATCGTGCCATGTCCGGATGGGCACGCAGCCAAAGAGTCGACCATTTGGGGCAGGCAAATTTGGGTGTGCTGCGCGGTTTTCACCACGTCTTGAAGACAGTGCTAATTTTGCTGCTAATTTTGCCGCCAGTTTTCGGCTAAGTTTTCTAATGATTAATTTTGCGACCTAGAAAAATTGGCGCAAAATTGGCGTCAAAATCGGCGGCAAAATTGGCGGCACAATCGGCGGTGTTTAATTGGGGTGGGCTTGAGGCCTTGGAAAATACACCCACGGTTGTAAGGGGGCAGGTTCTAGAGCAACAGCAGGGGAGAGAGATCACCCTGCCAACCGGGAGAATTTGTGCCTGTGCACAGGGGCTGCGAGGCTGGAGGGTTGATGGGATCGCACATGGCCGCATTCCTTAGATAA